GAGCAGGGTAAGAGCCTTGCTCCCCTCGCTGACACAACTGTGAGGCTGAGGTGGGATTTGAACGAGGAGGGTGTGCCTGTCTGGCCACCGTCCGTGCTGGAGGACAGGGAGGATCCAGCAAGACTGTCCTCTTTTGACGCCTGGGTAGAGGGTGCTCCTGTGGCTGAGCAGGAGCCTTCAAGCACCCCACCCAACTCTCAGCCCGCTGCTGTGCCATCCAGCTCCCCGGTCAACGCGCCAGCCTCTGAGCCCGCTGCCCGGTCTCCTCCTGCTCGCTCTCCAGCAGCCGCTGCTGATGCATCCATGCCCGTCGACCTAACGGATGACTAGATTTAGGGTTTTTTCTTTTGATTTTTTGTACCTTGTTTTTGCATTTTTGTATTTGATCAATGGATCCATATCGCGTATACATTCAATGTAAACATCTTTGATGAAATACAAAAATGAATATTTCTTTGAATTCTTGCTGTGTTTCCGGTATACCCTTGTTTACAACTGTCGAATAACGACTTGAATAAAAGAATAGTATACAATCTAACTGTAAAATTTTCTAAGATTCTGTATGTTCCAAATGTAAGGTAACTGGCATCCTTGTATATTTGCTAACACGTAAGAACCAGGTCGTTTAACTTGAACAACCATATAGGGGCCTTCCCAATTAGGAGCGAGCTTGCCCATGTGCGAATGAGTGTTAGTTAATCCAGCTTTACGTAGGACCAGGTCGCCAACTTGAAACTGGCGAGCTCGGACTCTTTTATTGTAAAATTTTGCAACACGGTTTTGATGTGCCACAGTTCTTATTCTCGACATCTCCCTGACCTCTTCTACGAAGTCCAGGTTCTCTCTCAAAAGTTGCTCATTGTTGAGGTCGTCATGCCGGCCTGCTCAATCGGATGGCAATCCAACCTCGACTGGGATGACGGCTTCAGCTCCATAGGCCAGGCTAAACGGGGTTTCGCCCGTGGCCGAGCTGGGTATGGTGCGACAAGACCAAAGCACTTTATCGAGCTCGTCAACCCAATTGGAATGCGCAGCCAAAACGCGTGTCTTGAGGCCTCGCAAGACGATTTTATTGGCTGACTCGGCTTGCCCGTTGGACTATGGAGTATACACGGACGTCAAAAGCGAGCTCGATGCCATAGTCGTTACAGAACGATCTCAGTGCTGCTGCCCGGAATTGCGGCCCATTGTCGGCGATAATTCGCTTAGGTATGCCGAACCTGCACACAGATGAGCGAGCTGAGCTACTAATCACGCTCGCCTATATTTTAATTATGAGCTCAATCACCAAGAAATACCTGCACAATATTGAATTGAACAAGAATTCTTCTATTTTCCTTTCTGTTGTCGTGGATAGCGGTTTAGCTTCTATCCACTTAGTGAAGTAATCCACTGCAACGACCAAGAAAGTGCAGCCTCCTTTGCCTTTGATAAAATGGCCGAGCAGGTCGACACCCCATTGAGCAAAGGGCCAGGGAGACGTGAGAGATGATAGCATTTCCCCTGTTTCAAGGAAGATACTTATGCTTAGCTTAGAGACAAACACAGAGTTTGCATGCTCTTTAGTATAGGCTCAGGTACCTAGCATGTGTATATCATCAGCATTGAACTGGCAGGTCGGACACTTTTTGACATAACTCTGCGCGTCCTCAACCATAGTGGGCCAGTAGTAACCATGCCTTAGTAGCTTCCGAGCTAAAGTTTTTCCGCCGATGTGCGTGCCACACACTCCTTCGTGAACTTCTCTCACAGCGTATTCAGCTTCGTAAGGAGTGAGGCGGCGTAATAGGGGCATTGAGGCTGCTCGCTTGTAGAGCTGGTTATCTAACAAAGTGAAATGGGCTGCCTTTCGCTTAACTAATTTCGCAGCGGACAGATCCTCAGGTAGCTCACCACTTTGTAAGTAGTTTATAAGTGGGGTAGTCCAGCTCGGCGTGGTGGGATCTGTGCTTAGTAGCTGACACTCGACCGCGAAATCGGTGTAGCTCGGAGCGTCTAGCACTTCGACGATGGTTGACCTCTGAGGGTTAAAGTCCCGCGAGGAAGCCAACTTTGACAGCTCGTCAGGTCGGTGGTTGTCAGCTCTTGGTATTTTGTCGATCTTAAATGAAGCAAATCTTAACTTCAATCCGTTAACCACAGAGGTGTAACGGCCAAGCTGGGGATCCCTAACTTCACAGTTGCCATTTACCTGGCCCACCACGAGCTGAGAATCACTGAAAATTTGTATGCTCTGTACCTTCAGCTTGGACGCCAATTTCAAACCATAGATGAGGGCTTCATACTCAGCAGCATTATTAGTGGTCTGGAACTTAAACCGCAATGCATGCTCAGATTTAAAGCCATCTGGGCCTATCAACACAGCCCCAGCACTTGACCCTTCAACGTTAACAGCTCCATCAACATACAGAACCCAGGCTGGGTAATCAAGTACCTTGTCTCCCTCCGTCACCGAGACGCATTCTACCAGAAAGTCTGCAATGGCCTGGCCTTTTATGGTTGTGCGTGGCTTAAACTTCAAGTCATATTCACTCAGCTCGACGCTCCATCCAATAAGCCGACCAGAGAGCTCAGGTTTCTGCAGTATTTTTCTCAACGGCAAATCGGTATAGACAATAATCGGATGTGATTGAAAGTAAGCTCTCAACTTACGAGCTGTGTAAACTAAGGCAAAAGCGGCCTTTTCTGCTACTGGGTAATTCTGCTCGGCGCCTTGTAAGACGTTGCTCACATAACAGATAGGCTTCTGATTCTTGTTCTCTTCCCTGAGTAAGACCGAGCTAACCGCCTCTGCTGTAACCCCTAAATACAAATACAAGCTCTCCCCCTCCACAGGCTTGGACAGCAGGGGCGCTGACGCCAAGTACCGTTTGAGCTCGTCAAAAGCCTGCTGACACGCATCGGTCCATTGAAAGTTCTTGGGCTCTCTCAGGGCCTTGAAGAACAGGAGGCATCTTTCTGCCGACCTGGCTATAAACCTGTGCAGCGCCGCAACACGGCCCGTCAGACGCTGCACGTCTTTGACAGTCCTTGGCAGCTCCATCTGCTGAACAGCCTCAACCTTCTCTGGGTTTACTTCGATTCCTTTCTTGGATACCACGTACCCGAGGAATTTCCCTGATTCCACAGCAAACGTGCATTTTAAGGGATTCAATTTCATTTGAGCTCGACGCAAATTTTGAAATGTCTCGTCCAAGTCGTTAATGTGATCCTCAGCCCGCACGCTGGTGACTATCATATCATCTACGTACACTTCTATGTTCCTGCCGATCTGGAGCTTAAAGATGATTTGCACCAGCTTCTGGTATGTTGCTCCAACATTTTTTAAGCCAAAAGGCATCATGACATAGCAGTATATTGCGTCACCAGCGTAAAAAGCCGTTTTTTCCTGGTCGTCTAACAACAGTTGGACCTGGTGGTAACCCGAGC